TACTTCTGCCATGATCTGCTTCTTCCACAGACCAGAGAAATGGGGCCAATCAACCACGGACTGAAACTTCTGAATCCACGAACCATAATAAATCTTTTCTCTTTATAATTATCTGAGGTAGTTGTTACAATTAAGGAAAGCTGACTAACATAGCTCCCTTGGGCCAGGCCCACAGTATGGGGACAAGAATACCCAGAATACCTGGCCCTGAGCCAACAGTAAAATTTGGAGCAGCAATTTCCAGACTTTTGGGTGCACTGGAATGGCTTAGGCAGACTCTCAAAGCTCCTTGCACCCCCAGTGCCTGATTCCTTTGGTAGCAGACCTAGGACTTTGCATGTGAAACAACCCCTCTGAGTCTAAAATAGGGATCCCAAGATCACACTTCCAAAAAAGTCTGTCCCAGGACATCCCTCTCAGGTAGCAACAGAGAGTCAATTACTTAATAATTCTATGCAAGATAAAGGATATGCTCCTGAGTGGACTTCCGTATGTGTTCTGTAACTGTCACTACTGCTGTGGTTACTGCCTGTGTCACACACAGGAGGAGTGAGAGCCTGATGGCTGAGCCATCCTCTAGTCTTTTACATGGATGCAGACCCTGAGATTTGTTCAGCTGTCAAATTAAGCCTGAGTTGTGCTACAGGAGAGGGGCTTCCACAGGATCAAGAGTGTGGGGATGCTGTGCCCTCTCTTTCCCTCTGGTCATGCTAGCTCCAAACCTTCCCTGGAATCAGCTCAAGGCCTTCTGTGCTTCCTTAGGAGTCATGGAGGGACTGGGCAAAGGGTAGGACCAACCTGGAGATGGCTTTCAGCTCAGATCCACTTCCCAAGCACAACTATGAGGGTGGAACACATGGCCTGCTCCCTGCAGCAGCACACAAGCTGTGCAAAGCAGGGCTGCTTCCTGTTCCGGGGGCAATGACAGGAGGGTGTGATGTTCCAGGAGACACCCCTAAGAGTCTCTAAGGGCAAGGAAGAGTGACAGAAAGAGTGAAATTCTCTTCAGGCAGGTGAAGGGCAGACCTTGGGCTCCCACCCTGGAACTTCCAGAGTGGCAGAGAATACTGCATAAATCCCCTTATATGTGGCCTGTGACCTGAGGTGGCTGGGTGCAGTCTTCTGTGGGAGGGAGCCCAGGAATCCCCAGGCCTGTGCCACCAACTGAGGAAAGAGGCAGACCCAAGGCTGTAATCAAACTGGAGTGCCGGAGGACTCCTCACCCTAAGCCGGGAGAGAGGATCACAGCAGGGCAGGGGGAGGGGAAAATGAAAGGGAAATGGCAGGGAAGGATTGGAAAGGCAGCTGGGGGAGTTAAAATATGCAGATGGAGAGATGTGCAAATGCCTGGAGAAAGGAAAGACCCGGATCCTGGGAAAGGAAAGAGAATGGGGGACTGGACTCAGGGACAGCGAGGGTATGACCTGGACCCCACGGACTTAGATCCAGCCTGCCTTTTTCCAATGCCCTCCAGGGCCCAGGAGTGAGCTGCGGTCCTCCAGATGCAGCACAGGTGCTGGCCTCTGAGGTTGGAGAGATTTCATCAATTGGGCTCATCCTAGCCCTAAATCAAAACCCAGCTTCCACCCTGGGAGCTAGAGGATGCAACCCGTGTACACCTGTGCCACTCCCCCTGCCCCTCCCCCCAGGCACCCAGCTCTGGGCTGTAGGTGACAGCTCCCTGTACTTCTTACTGGAGACTTTTCCGTTCAGACTCAGAGCCAAGGACTGTGAAGCTTGTAGCTCCCACCTCTCTTATCCTAGCAGGCAGCCCTGGCTCCTCAGCTCAGAGTGCTCCTCCTAGAGATGATAAAGTGAGGCCAGAGGCAAGCAAGTCAAGTCCCAGCTCTGCCACACAACAGCTGGTCTCCCCCATTGCTGTGCATTCCTTCAGCACTTGGAGCTCAGTTTTAATTTGCACTCCATTAATTTGCAAGTAGGCTGCTTTGTAAGTGTTCTTTTGTCTTTTTTCTCTGGCTGTCCGGACTCCCTCACCCATCCTGGGCTCCAGAGGGTGGAGACTGCCTCCCCCACCAATCACCCCGGCACAGGTCCCATGCTAGGGCCCCTGAACCCTTCGACTGTGACACGCTTGGTGGGGCCCTGCAAAGGACCGAAGAGTTTCTGGAATGGTGTGAAATGCAAAGCATCCTTGTTTCCCAGGGAGAAACTAAGGTTGACAGAAGTTTGGGGACCACAACCAATTAATTAGCAGGAAACGATGAGGCACAGGCAGGCCTAGGTTTTATCTTCCTACCAGAAGTCTCAGCTCACTCTACTACCTTGCCCTGCCTCTCTTACCGCCCAGTCCTGCAATGTATGTGTGAGATTAATACATCTTTGAGGGTGCAAACCAGGTCTTATTCATCTTGATATTCATGAAGCAACTCAGGTTAGACTCTTTCTTCTTGCCAGAGACCCTCCCTGGAGCTCCAGGAGGAACACAATCACCTAACCTCTCATCACCTACCCTATGGATTCTTTGGACCCTGAGCTGAGCCAGACCAGGACACTAGGTCCATTGTAGTCTGGGGAGGTTCAGAGCTATGCATCCTATACCTATCCTATACTTCCCAAGACTCTGAAAGCCAAGTTTCAGCTCCCAAACTGATAGGACACTAATCATGATCCCACTTTCTGCAAACTCTGCTCAGATGCAAACTGGGAAGGCACCACAGCCTTCCTGCAAGGGACAGGTCCCTGGATGGGCTCGGCTGAACCAGGTTACCACCTCTTCCTGCCTGGAGTACTTAGCATAACTGCGGAATGTGCTAGGATGGCAGCACCCTCAGATAAGGAAAGTGCAGCTGGGATTCCATTCCACTCCTCCCAGCACACGATGGCCTGCAGCGCTTTAGCCCAGCAATCTCAGTTTCCCAGGGGTAAAAAACCCACGGCAGAGTGCTTTCTGGGTCCCTCAGCTGTGGTGTCACATGGACGGGGGCAGATGAGACTCTGTTCTCTCTGAATGGCTTCCTTGAGCCTTGAGGGACTAGCCTGCTATAAATCTTGGGTCCCCACGATCCTTTGATGTCTACTTGTGAATACTGAAGCTTCTTTGCTTGTTGTGAAAATGTTCTATCTCACCAGACCATGCAAGGGACCAGTATCCAGCGCACAGTGAACCTGAACCTGCTTTATAGTTCAAAGGTTCAGGGTCCAGCAGCTGTGAAGATATTTGTATTTTTTTTTTTTTTTCCAGAACCGGGGATTGAACTCAGGTCCTTGCGCTTGCCAGGGAAGCGCTTATTCCACTGAGCCAACTCCCCGGCCCCGACTTTCCTCCTTTCTTTATGTGTACTTGCAGTGGCTGGTTTTGGGGGGACAATCATATTTCACAAGATAGCTATAGATCCAAGGCCCAGGGACACAAAAGAGAATGTGCTCCTCAAATCTGCTTACTTTTGCCTTTAGAATTTCCATACTGGATAGGTTTCCTTCGATCGCAGAGCTTGACACACTTTGCTCAGGTACAAGAGGCGCTAACCTCTTCTAGGGAGAGAAAGATGAGCAGCCAGCTGCACGGGGTCTTTCATCTGCTGGCCCCAGTGAGCACGCTTTGCCCTCACCAGGCTGGACTGCTCCAGGTCTGCAAGACAGGCCTGCCTAGGGAGCCCTTCCTTTTGTAAACTCGTACCTTGCTCCCAGCCATCACCTCCTCACCATCACCCACACAAGCCAGGCCCTAAACTTCTAGGTCCCCTCCACTTAGGGCTCTCCCCTGCTGTCTATTCTCCTAGGTCTACCCTAGACCTCAGGGCCTAGCTCCTTCTGCCCTCTCTACTCAGGCCCCCTCTGCAGCACCACTTCAATCCTCACCTTTCATTTTCACAATCATTAATTAATAGCTCTCTCTCTCTCTCTCTCTCTCTCTCTCTCTCTCTCTCTCTCTCCCCCCCCCAATCAAACTCAGGGGCTCTCTATGACTGAGCTACATCTCCAGGCTCTTTTTATTTCAAAGAGCGTCTCACTAAGTTGTCCAGACTGACCTCAAACATGTAATCCTGCTGTTTCATCTTAATGTTTTGTTCCCTTATTTCTTTATAGTCACGACAGACCTGCATCCTCAGATCTGCCCTCTGAGGGAGTCAGGGAGGTTACTCTCGGCAGATACCTGCAAGGAATGATGCTGGCCCTACATCCAGGCTTTGGACCAGAGCCCCCACATTCTGGGTCACGTGGTCCTGCACATTCACTAGGAAAGCGTGTGTGCACAGCGCAGCATGAGGGCGCACACACACATAGGCAGCTCCTCAGGGCAGGATGGATCTTGCCTGTGGCCATCCCCTAGCACCTAGCACACAGCCCGCATAGCTGAAGTCCACCAGTTCTCACAGTACCATCCCGCCACCCTTCCTGGGAGAGTCTGACAGAAGGGCAGGATATTTTCCAGCCTTGAAACAACCTGCCCACTGCCATTGGCTCCCCTGTACCTCCCCTGAGGCCCCCGAGGTCCCCTTCCCCCTCACCCCTTTGCCCCTCCATTGCAGCTGCCCAACTTACTTTTCCAGCATGGACATGACAATCGGGGGGAGCACCAGGATGGGCATAGGCAGGACCACTCGAGTCAGTGCTGTCTCCAGCAGGGCCTGTGGGGCAAGACAGGCCGCAATGAGAGGCTTCCGGGGCAAGGACAGCCTCCTGGCGGCATGCCCTGCCCCAGAGGTCCTACGTGTGTGTGTGTGTGTGTGTGTGTGTGTGTGTGTGTGTGTGCTGCCGCTAAGCACATCTGGCAACATGGAATTATTCATGGAATCGCTCACAAAGCTGCATTCCAGTCAACAGGGGGGAAAAAAAAGCCACCTCCATTTTCTCACCACACACTTTTGAAAAGAGCAGATTTCTGTCACCTGCCACGTGCCAGAGAGGGGTGGTGACAGAAGCAGCCGCAGGAAGAGGCCAATGCTCAGGCAGGTGCTTTGGCTGGTGGGACAGCCTCACCAGCTTAGGATAGACAGGGGCTGGGAGTAGCACATGGACGAAGGACTTGAGATGCTCTCAAAACAAAGCAGGTGCTAGAAGGGCTGGAACAAACAGCTGGGCTGGACAGAGATTCTAGAATTAGGAGGAGTATCTCTTAAAGACAAAGATTCAAAACATCTGTGTCTTTTGGCTCAGGAAGAGTCCTTTCTAGTGACAAGAAGTCAGCTTTGTAAAGGGATCACATATCTGCTGCACCCCCATGGGGTTTCCCTCAAGGGTCTGCCTGGCATCCTTTCCTTGTTCTTGGGGATCCTGTAGGATCCTTATGGCTCAGCCATGTGGCAGTTCTGTGCTCTGATGGCCAATGCAGACAGTCTTACCCCATGGGCTCCCACCCATAGAGATTCTAGCAGTGGCTCATAGCCCACAGATTCTAGTTTTCCCAGACAGCAAGGAAGAGGTGAGCCAGGCTGAAGGAAGCCCAGGGCTGCAGAAGTGCCTGGGCTTCTTTGTGGTTTGACCCACAAGAAGGAGTTGTAATTCTTGTCCTACCCGATGGTGACTGGGGAAAAAGGGTTGGGGTAAGGTAGGAAATTGAGACTAAATCCATGACCAGCCTCAGAAAGCCACAGGGAAGGTCCCTTGAGGATTCTGAACAGCTGTGGGAAGGATGGGAGGGCCCAGGGCCAGGCAGAGCAGAACACACACTGCTGCAAGGCCTCCGCTTCTGGCCCAGCCCTGGACAGGCACAGCCTTTCCCAGAGGGTGATGGGGCAAGGAGGGTGGGGACCCAGAGAGTGCTCTTCCCAGACTGCAGGCTTAGGAAGAGGCCTCCTGGGAAGGTGTGGATGCTCAGCCACCTCATGGCTGAACACTTGCCCTTCTCAGCACTCAGAGATAGGAGCCAAGGACAACAGCACAAGTCACAAGCTACCATTGGGAAGAAGGCCAGGAAGGCATGGGACATGTGTACATGGGCTAGGAGGTTTGTTTTTTCCCCATAAATTACAGGGTCAGAGAGGGTGGGGCCAGTGAAACAGGTGAGAGAGAGGGGGTCTTGTAACAAAATATTCTTCTCCAGTTGCCTCTGAAACCCTAAGAGCCCAGGAGCTCCCCACGCTGGGTCCCAGGGAGGCGACGCTGCAGAAGAGCCTATTAGCCAGATCACACTCCACTCACCTGAAGCTTCCTCTTTGTACCCAAGAGGATGGTGAGGCCCAGGGTGACAGGTCCCTGGGTTCTGGGAGCAAATGTGTATATGGGTATCCCTTACCCTCACCAATTAACACTTCATCTGAGGAACTGAGTCTTGAGGGGCTGGGACAAGAGATGAGGACATTTTACAGGAAGGAGAGGATGGAGAGAAATGAAGGGGACTGTCCCAGGGACCAGGCTCATCTGGGGACAGATCTAGAGGCCTGGTGCTCACACAGATAGGAGAGGAGGGGTGAGGAAGAGACATCAAGAGGGTAAAACCAGGGTACTGTGGGGAGAAGCTCCCAGAAAGTACCATAAGCAAACCAACGCCCTGCCCAGGCCCCTCCAAGCCCCAGGCCAACCCACATGTCTGGCTGCAATCCTGGAGGAGCCCACGAGGTTGCCTTCAGCATCCAGGACATCAATCCCTTCCTCCAGCTCCCCGTACCGCATCAGGACCACGTTGCAGATATTGGCACTGGCTGGAGAGAGAGGGGCGCAGGGAACAGGTGTGAGGGGGAGCGCATTCCACCTGGGGGGCACCAGAGTCCTGCCCTGCCACAACAGTTCTGAACAAACACCAAGGCTGCGAAGACTGGCGGGGGGTGTGGTCGCCTATCATGCTGGTGAAGGGTTTGAGGACCCTTGGAAACACCGTGAGCAAAGATGGAAACAAGGGGTGTCAGTAGGAACGGTTCAGGCCTTAGAGAACCACCATCTATCAAAGAGGCTGCTTCCTCTCCTCCAGCAGCCCTGTAGGCAGGCAGAGTGGCTGCAGATCTAGGAGGGCTCTCTGGCCACCCGACACCTCCTGCTGAGGCCTGATCTCCCACCATCAGTGACTCAGCCCCTTGGGCTGCCCTAGCCTCTAGAAATACCAGTCCCCACATTCGGTCCTGTGCTCCTTACAGCAAATAAAGTTCCCAGAGATTTGCATCTCTGAGAGCAGGTGCCAGAGCAGGCAGGAACCTCAGTGCTCACCCGGCACCACCCCCTCATCAGATGTACGGAAAACAGGCTCAGAGTGGAGGATGAATGAACTGAGGTCACACAGCAAAGTGCGGAAAGGCTATTAGGCCAATACCTAAACCTCTAGGTCGTCAAGGACAGCGGGGATGGGGCTGAGTGAAGTTCTTCCAATGGTTGCATGCCCTGGTTTGCCCTTGGCAATGAAGTTGTCTTGGCTGGGATCTTGGGGGCCTGGACTGAGGGTAGATCCTAGCTCCTCTTTTAAGTATTGTGTTAGGGACCTTTTAAGTAGGTCCCTAACACAGGATACCTCGCCCTGTTCTCCTCTCCCAGGATTCAGGGGGCCAAGCCCGGGATCTTAGTGGGGTGCAGTCAACCTTGTCTCGAACTCCTCCAGCTCTGCTTCAGGATAGAAGAAGGGAGGCTTGGGGGTGGTGGGTGGGTGGGAAGTGGGGGTGACAAATGTAGAGCCCGCCTGCTTCACTCCTCCCCCCAAAGCGCCTTGCTGTGTTTAAAGTTTTAATTTTTGCTAATTAATGTCAATTAATTTTGTATAATGAGTGTTTAATTTTGGGGAGTGTGTGAGCCTGGGAGCGACTGCAGTTCTGGGCTGTGAACGCTGATTAGCATCAACACCTGCTGCTTCCCCCCTCCAGTGGGGGGGCGCCGGCTTTCGGGAGCTGGAGGGCGGCGGGGCCCAGTGGGCAGGCGAGTAGGAGGGAGCCCACAGATGCTCCCGGCCCGAGCCAAGGGCCAGGGAGCCTGTGGTCGTGGGTGCCCACCACTGGGGGTCAGGACTCTGCAGGTGAGGGGTAGCCGGAGACCGTGGAGTCTCTGAGGCCATGTCTACTTCAATGAAGTGGGGAGGTGGAGTAAGCGAGGCAAAGACTGAGAGGCTCTGCAGTCTTTGGAGAGGAAAAGCAGGAGAGCAAATACAGTTCTAAAATGTATTTAGAGCACATATGCCATCTCCGAGCGTCTACTGTTGCCACACGACATCGCACAGTGCTAACCACGGGCGGGCTTCTGCGGCTGGGGTGGGCGCGAGCCTCTGCCCTTCCTGTGCCCACAGCAGGCACACTCACCTGTTAGAAAGTGTACAGCCAGGTAGGACTCTGAGGGACATTTGGTCCTATCTGGAGATGGTTTTGATTGCCACGTTTTGGGAGTGGGGGTGGTGTGCTGCTGGCATCCAAGGGGCAGAGCCCAGGGATGCTGCCAGACAGCCTTCCATGCACAGGCCAGTCCTGGGTGTCCACAGTGCTGACAGAGAAGCCTGCCCTCTGAACCACAACCAGAGGGACAGAGGAACGTGAATCTGAGGTGAGAGAGATTCAGGCAGCAGTGAATGACCTGGAGGAGGGCTTGGGAGTCTGGGTTTGGGGCCATCTTGGTACGCCTCCAGTCCTGGCTCTGATCTCTCCCTGCTCTTCCCTGGAAGTGAGCTCCAGGTTGGGGATGCTCAGGGCCGGGAAGGGCCCCTGAGGGGCAGCCTTGGGAAGTTGGCTCCTGGCCTCTGTGTTAGTGACACGCCCTCTAGTGGCAGTAGGGATGCTCTACATACTCCATGCCCTTGGGGCTGCCAGGCCCTCAGGACCCAGGAGAGACCAAGAAAACCACTGAAGGGGACCATGGGGCTTTCTGCCCAAGGTATCACTTTATGCCCTCTGAGAATATCTTCCATTGCCACCAACACTGCTTCAGAAAAGGCAAGGTTACAGAACTGGGGCCCAGGGACAGAGCATGCCCTCAAGGTTAGAGGCCATCATGTCTGGCCCTGGTGGTCCTTCAGTGAGAGGCACCATTTAGGTTTCCACAGGGTCTCTGGGTGTGGGCTACACACACAGAATACTGGCCTCTGCGCCTGTGCCCACACCAGGGCAGAAGTGGGGACAGCTGAAATGTCTCCAGCCCCTAATTTGTACATGTATGTGTGGGTGGAAACAGAGAGGAGAGATGTGGACTCGGAGGTGGTGGGGGGCCAGCTCATCTTGCAATTTCCAAATGTGGAATGCAGGGATAGTGGGACCCAGCAGGACCCTAGTGAAAGCACAAAACCATGTTAGACAAAAGATGGAGCCCAAAAGACGTGAGACCCAGACTCCTTCCCTCCCCTCAGACGACCTCTCGAAGACACTACTGAGGCTGACAATGCCCCTCTCTCCTCTAAACGGATGTGAAAATTCAAAGAAAACCCAGACCACTTCAGAATGATGGTGACTCCCAGGGTCCTCTCTGGTGGTGCATGTCCTATCATCTCCGTTGGCTGTGTGCCTTGGTGCTTCATTTATTGAGCACCTCTGAACGTGAGAGCTACTGGCCACCCCAGCCCTTGAACAGTGAGAACACCAGCCTGTGATAGTTATTTCATATCCACCAGTCATCATGAACTTTTTTTTTTTAATTTAGTACAGGGTCTGCAGGGTCTCATTACGCAGACTCACAGTGATCCTCCTGTTTTTCAGCCTCCCAAGCACTGGGATTACAGGAGCACACCACCACGCCATCTCAATTGCCATCTCAGCATGCTCTGGGGGCAGGGCTGGCATGGAAGGCTGGGGATCGAACCCCTGGTCCCTGGGTCTGCCTAAGCTGGTGCTCTAGTCTGCTGAGCTATCTGGCTGGCCCTCATCATGAACTTTTGATTCTGTCATACATGTCTCTTTCAAATCTCTCCAGGTCCCACCCCACTCCTGGGAGTGTCCAGCTCCCAGACAGTGATACTCAGGCCCAAGAGAGGAGGAGAGATGAGAGAGAGGGAGGGATGGAGGGAG